GTGGGAAACAAACATACATTTTTTAAAAACAATTTATGGTGCATGGCAGTTTCTTAATAACAAATGAATGTTTTCGACAGATTTACATTCCAGTTATGTGTGAACACATCTGACCTATTTGAAGCTTACACATACCATTTGGATGTTTCTGACAGCTTAAAGTCACTGCATTCAAAAATTATATCATTGTAAAATATCTTTGAAATGCAAAAAACTGAAAACAGACCATATGAAAGTTTTATAAAATTTTGTTGAGGAAAAACAAGCGAATCTAACAGGTTAATAAAACTACAAAACCAGAAGAGGAATGTGATGGACAGGCTTGTAAGGAGCTGTTTAATCACCATACAAAACACTTTGAACAGAGAGCAATTTTATGAGAAGGCATTCCTCAATATGACAGGCCCTCCATCAGGAGTGTTGGAGCAGGGCACAAGTCCTACACCTGATCGCTTAGGTGCTGAAGGATTAAAGCAAAATGAACGCTGCTAACTATTCCAAGTAGAGGGGTGCCAGAAACCTCCTTTGACACAAAAATCAAAGTCTGCCAGAACATAGAGGAGAGATAAATCATTCCTCTTTTTCAAAAGAAACTTTAATTGGATGGTTATCAGAATCCTATACAGATTTCATTTAAGTTCTATATCATCTATGAATTATAATCATACAGAAATATGAATGGTTACGTTCAGTGTACATAAATAACTGTTTCATTTTTGTTTTGCATAATTTTGCAAAGTGATTCCAAACTCACATGCATAATTTCAAGGGACACAATATTGAGAGTGAACGAGCATGTGAAATAAATTTCCTGAAACAGAGATATTCCTGTATTGATCAGGCTATTGTGGTTTTACCATAACAACAAGTTCAGCTTTCTAACCGTTACCATTCTACAAATAATTTGTCTTGCCAAAAATCTATTTTCGAAAATGTTTTTTTACGGGGAAAAGACAATATGATATGTGATTCATTATCTATGAATTTGGAGTCATGAAATCAGATTTTTTGCACGTCTGCCAAGCAGACCATTACAATTGTTGTCAAGGGTCACATTATAAGTTTTTATTAGAATGTAAGGTTGTGAGAATTTCATGTTCATCATGTTCCGACAGTAATGCCTTTGCTTTCCCAGCAGCCATTACTGTGACATGCAATCTTTACTCCTTCAACTCCACTTGCTTGACAAAAACCCTTCAATATTTTTATAAAGAACATTTTAGAGAAAAGGAAAAGAAAGTAATGAATCAAAAAAATATATCTGTTCAATAAATACAAGAAGTTTTTTATCAACAGATTAAATTTACTGGTGTAAAGCTAACTAAACCATTTCTTGAGCTGGCTTCTGACCAAACTATGCTAGGCTGACATTAAGTAGTCAGAAGTCTGTGAGACGTAAGTGTACTATTGATCTACATATTTGTTGTGGTGGTGCCCTTGTAGGAACAAGGATGTACAGGCAGGAAGATATTGTACTTAACAACAACAATTCTATATTATTGACCACATGCTCCTAGTAATTCTTGTTATTTTGATCTTAGTTGTATATCTGTCCAAACATCCAACATCAAAACTTGTCAGAATCTGAATGGTTTTGTGATAGTAACAGGAAAACTCCTTCCTGTCAAGCACTGCAACAGGAATCTAACTTCAGTATGTGGTGTTACACTCCAGGGCTATATCAAGAGAGCAAACGAAGCATGCTGTGTCAGCTGAGTGACAGACACAGTAATTAACACTACTGTATGTATTGTGAACGCCACACTGACCCACTCCTTTTGCACTATCATAAAGGAAGAAAAACAGCATCAAACAAGTCACCTAGCAATCACCCACTGTCCTCAGAGTGCCAGAGTAACATCCAGCAGTATAAAGAACAAAGACAGCAAATAAAACAAGTTATCTATACAAGTAACATCAGTCAACATCAAGTTATCTATATAAGTAACAGCAGTCAACATCAGGTTCTGTATACAAGTAACAGCAGTCAACATCAAGTTCTCTATACAAGTAACAGCAGTCAACATCAGGTTCTGTATACAAGTAACAGCAGTCAACATCAAGTTCTGTATACAAGTAACAGCAGTCAACATCAAGTTCTGTATACAAGTAACATCAGTCAACATCAGGTTCTGTATACAAGTAACAGCAGTCAACATCAAGTTCTCTGTACAAGTAACAGCAGTCAACATCAAGTTATCTATACAAGTAACATCAGTCAACATCAGGTTCTGTATACAAGTAACATCAGTCAACATCAAGTTCTCTGTACAAGTAACAGCAGTCAACATCAAGTTATCTATACAAGTAACATCAGTCAACATCAGGTTCTGTATACAAGTAACAGCAGTCAACATCAAGTTCTCTATACAAGTAACATCAGTCAACATCAGGTTCTGTATACAAGTAACATCAGTCAACATCAAGTTATCTATACAAGTAACATCAGTCAACATCAGGTTCTGTATACAAGTAACATCAGTCAACATCAAGTTCTCTGTACAAGTAACAGCAGTCAACATCAAGTATACAAGCAGTCAACATCAAGTTCTAACATCAGTACAAGTAACAGTAACATCAGTCAACATCAAGTTATCTATACAAGTAACATCAGTCAACATCAGGTTCTGTATACAAGTAACATCAGTCAACATCAAGTTCTCTGTACAAGTAACATCAGTCAACATCAAGTTCTCTGTACAAGTAACAGCAGTCAACATCAAGTTATCTATACAAGTAACATCAGTCAACATCAGGTTCTGTATACAAGTAACATCAGTCAACATCAAGTTCTCTGTACAAGTAACATCAGTCAACATCAAGTTCTCTGTACAAGTAACAGCAGTCAACATCAAGTTATCTATACAAGTAACATCAGTCAACATCAGGTTCTGTATACAAGTAACATCAGTCAACATCAAGTTCTCTGTACAAGTAACAGCAGTCAACATCAAGTTCTGTATACAAGTAACAGCAGTCAACATCAGGTTCTGTATACAAGTAACAGCAGTCAACATCAAGTTCTCTATACCAGTGACAACAGCCACCATCAAGTTCTCTACACCAGTAACAACAGCCACCATCAGATTCTCTAGACCAGTAACAACAGCTACCATCAAGCTCTCTACAGCAGTGACAACAGCCATTGCCAAGTTCTCTACACCAGTAACAACAGCCATTGTCAAGTTTTATATACTATTACCAGTAACAACAGCCATCATCAGGTTCTCTTAGCTGGTAACAACAATCACCATTAAATTCACTTCCTCCAATCTCATGCATTTCCAAAGTATAAAGCCAACATAGAGGGTAAAAGTAAAGGTACCAGTATCTTCTCCACTGGTGACATCCACCATTGAAATCTAGGGAAACTCTAATTTTTTTTTTATATGTAAAATGACTTTAAAGAAAGAATTAGGGATAATACATTTTATTTAAAGACAACTGGTATGAAGTTATAGTAGTCTTGAATTTTGTATTTATAAATCAGAAACTTAATCTATTTACAAAACTTATGAAAAGAGGTTAATATATTCTAATCACTCCTGTTGTCCCAGAATGAAGTTCTAAAGTCAGAGATTGCTTAGGGTTTGCTTAGATCATAGAAGATTTTCTTTTACATCTAATCTTTTCCATCAACTTCCTTAACAATAACAATCATTTCACAGAAAGCGAAAAATAACTTTTCGTACTTCCCCGAGTTAATTAGTGGTGAAGGTTTGTGACTCTCTGTCCAGGAGGCCAATCGTTTACTCCTGTCTATGAGTACATACCTTGTGTACCATTACTATACCTACGTCACTCACTCTAAAATACAGGTGTACAATGCCTGCTAGATGTTATTCATTTTGGCATCAATGAATACATACAAATGATGGATATCAGCATAGCAAATGACCTACTTAACAAAATATCATATCTAGAATCAGTTACAGTTGGCAACAAGGTGTATTTCCTATTGAACTGCTTGTTAGAAGTTCAACTCCTGGGGACAACTTGGGATTCATTTTGAAATCTTACATAAAGTAAATAAACATATTTTAACAGTAACCTTATTTTTGCAGAAATCTTATTTTGGTGGTTTTCGCTGCATGATTACTTGAACTACAATTGTATATCCTGCTAATATAGTAACTATTATGAATCTGCAAATTTCATCACATTAATTTGCCAAAAAATTATAAAGCGCTATAATTTGATTGCACCAAATAAGGTATGTTTACATTAATTCTACAGCAATAGTCGATTACATTCATCATCCATTATGTATTTTAGTGTGTGATATATAGCAAGCACAGTGAGTATTGGTGAAGCAATACATGTCCCCTATTGGTCTCCACAAGCTATTACAATGTAATGATTTATTGAGGTGGTGCTGTTTGGTGTTAACTTGGAAAAGTACACAATCAGTTTGTAACTGATATAAATGTATCATACAATAGATTAGTATGACAATCTGACAACACTTTTCATCACTGAAGTGTGATAACATATCATGGTTGTGTGTAAGATCATAAATCCTGTAAGAAATAAAGCCTCTTAGGTATTGATAACAATTTTCTAAAAATAGAAATGATGACTATTACTTTAAGCTTGACCAAAATGCTCTGAACATGTTCACGACATTTAAGTGCTTAAAAATGTATGAAATTTGATGAGAATCCCTGAAGAAATGAAGCTGTTAGAGTCCAAGTGCTGAAAAAGACTTTCTAAACATAGTAACAATGAATGTGACATTGACTCGGTGGTCCCAAAACTTGAACTTGTCCAAGATAATTTTATGCTTAATAAGTATCTGAATTTAATGAGAATCCCTTAAGGAATGACGTCACTAGAGTGCTGACAAATTTTCACATACCCAGGGATGGACAGAAGAACAGAGGAAAAACTTTCGTCACCCTCAGTATCCTCTCCCTGGTTTCAGCAGTAGGGAATATAACAAAAAATATCACCATTTGTAACAAAGAAAAAAAGAAAATGTGAAATGTGCTAAAACTTACCTCAACAGAAGATTCACTGCAGGCCTGCTGACATGTTGACTCCAGACCAACATTGTACCTTTCACAGCCCAATCGGCACTGGAAACAAAAAATCAAAACAACAGGGCTTTCAGTTTGTGTTGATATCAATTGAAATCACTCAAATAGACATGTAATGAAAAGGAAAAGAATATAACTGGTTTAAATTTTGACTATGTATACACTGCATGAATGAAAACTTAATGCCTTTTATCAAAGTCCTTAACAAATTGGTGAATCTTAATTTCTACATCAAAATATTCTTCTACCCTTAAAAATGTCCCTGGATATGAAAAACAGGATTTGTCTTTTGATCATGAATGTTATGTCATAGTAGAGAACAGCAGATTTGATTTTTTGATATTATATCATTTCAAGTATTCTACATTATTTTCTGGAAGGTGAAGTCAACTTTGATTAAAAAAGACTAGAAATAAATACAGAAACCGATACATGATCGCTTTATGGTGACAAGCTAGACGTTTTACGACTGAAGAAATAATAAATAAGGATACTGATATTTCACCTTCTCCTATCACATTTACACGCAGAGGGATCAGGATGGGGTATTCTTATTTATCTGTCTCTTGCATGACATACCTAGTAAAGTCAATTTTAATTGCCTTGTAATTGGTTGTCAAGAGTTATCTCCCTTGACATTATTGATTAATTGTATTTAAGGTGATTGCATTCTTTGTCACTGACAAACCTTTATATCCAAATACGTGTATCTTAATAGGTCCTTTCCCTGGTAATTACACCAATTAAAATTTGAGAAGAAAACTTCTTTTTATCCAGGAAACTTCGGTATTGTTCAAAAAGAAAATATGAGTGGGTGTGCAATAGATATGTTTTCTCCTAGCATTTGGAGGAAATAACAACAACAGAGAGGAAAGGAAAAGATATTAACATTTGCTGTGTAAGCTTCAATTACATGAACAGTATCGTTTATGCCTTAAATCCAATACAGAAATATATTTTTCTAGATTATACTGCCTACGTATATTACTGATACACCATCAGCACAGAATTCATGCTTCTGTGATTTTTTATACAAATGAAAGGCAACATATTCTCATATTTTCTTTATTGTAAGGTTTTACAGTATCCTTGTACAGTTATGTGTACAGTATCCATGAATTGTAATGTTCTACGGTCTTTCTTTAATCTGATATTCTACAATATCACTGTAATGTTTTACAGGATCTCTGTTTTGTGATGTTCTACAGTGTCCCTGTATTGTGATGTTCTACAGTGTCCCTGTATTGTGATGTTCTACAGTGTCCCTGTACATGTAATACAGCATCCCTGGATTATAATACCTCCGCACTAGATTGCTGTGTTGTGGCTGGAACATATAACGATGGTTTATATGTCCCTGGTTATGGTTAACTATGAATTACTTGATGGACTGTGAAATAAAGGTAAAGTGACGAGTTGGGGAATGGTTTCATGTTACACAAGATATCTCAAACAACCCAAAGTGATATATGTCTCAGGCCTATACCTAGGAAGTCTTAGTGTTTTGATGAAAGACAAGCAGCCAGTTACAGCAGCTTATTTTTCTGATGACTACAAATAATTTAAACACAGCTGCCAATTACTTGCAAAGTGAGCATTTAAGTAGGAGAGGAATGTAAGCGGGTGATTATCTCCCCTAATCTCCAACAGTATTACTGGGAAACTGCTTTTGTGAAATTGCTGCAATAACATCTCAGTAATGGTCCACAGCCCTAGACTTAAGAATTACATCAAAGGACATGTTTTATCCTTTCCTGGGCCACCACAATACCTCATACACATTTACAAACATAAATAATCCACCGTACTCTCTAACCCAGACACACTTCCCCAAACATGTAGTTCTAGGTGTTGGTTAATATGTCTGACAAATTGATGTTAGATAATCGTTGTTAGGTCACTAGACTTCTGGGTCTCTACAATAAAACATCGCTAGACGTTAACATTTCTTACCAAGACCTCACAACTAGTTATTTCCCTAAATCTCACACCAAAGTTTGCCATTATCATCCTACACTAAATCTTATACACAGATTTGCTGTAATTTCACTTCACTAGATTTCACACCAAACTTTCCTATAATTTCTTTACACAAAATCTCACACCAAACTTTGCCATATTTACCAACACTTAATCTCACACCAAACTTTGTTACACTAAATTTCACATCAAGATTTACTATAAATTCTTCACAATAAATTTCTCACTAAATTTTGCTATAATTTCCCTGTACTTCATCTCAAACCAAACTTTTGTTGTAATTTCCCTACACTAAACCGCTTACCAATTTTTGTTAAAATGTTTACACTGAATCCCATCCAGCTTTGCTATAATTTCCCAAAACTTAATCTCACACAAAACTTTGCTATAATTTCTCTACTCTAAATCTCACACCAAGCTATAATTCTATAATTATATAAAATCATGTAATTAAGTTTCATTTAAATTTAAATTGGAATAAGTGTAGTGTCTAATGCTTTAGAATTATAAACGTTCTATCCAACATCTTTCTTGGAGGAAATCGGTAAGACTTGCAGTTGTCAAGAAACTTGGCTTGACTCATTTCTGTTCCAAATCAAAATTGTTGTTTTTCTTTCATTTTCAGGTAATCTCATCTGTTTCTCCGAGATTTAAAATATGATACAGACATTGTTACAAATTAGATTCTAAACTTTTTATATTGACAAGGAAGCAAAATTTCTGCTACATTTCCAGCAACATATTTGATTATGGAGGAAAAACAACACTTTCTTCCAAACAAGGAAGTTATTCCACAAAATCAGTGTCTTTGAAAAAAAACAATGCTATTTTAGCTGACCTTGCAATATTGAGTGTTGTCTTCAAAGTCAGCTCAAGGTCAAGCAACTGTGTGCTTGCAACAACTGCACTGTTATTGGGATTGAAGATACTGGTGTATTAATAAAGAGCATGCATATTTATTGGGTTGTTACACCTAAAACAATTTAATTTTTAATAATCATGGTCGTATATGAAATAATGGATACATGTGATTAGGAAGATGTTCACTAGCTGTTCACTGACTTAACAGTAACAGTGAAATCTGTTTAACTCTGGATTACACCGTCCCTAGGGTCAGAATTTCCAGGTGTCTCACTGGTGAATTTACAGGACTTGTAATCAGTGGCTACACACTAGAACACAGAGGCTGGATGTCTGAGGGCCGTGCCATCCATCAACACATTCCAATCCAGTAGCTGTATTATCAAATAGCCTATAACACCATCAGTCATTAATACCTTCCACAAACAAATACACAAATGAACTGTTTCAGGGAGATCATCCACACATTTATCAATCACTCCACAACAACAGATCCAACCAGTTAATGTCAACATAGCTCAGACATCATATTCAACTTGGCAATTACAAACTAGCAACCAATACAATCTCATATCATTGTATCTATGATACAGAATTAAACCATCCAATCAATTAGCAGATTTAAATCACAATTTGACAATTTATCCAATCACATTAACAGAGTCAAACTGCACTGTAAGATTTCATCTAATCAAATTTACACATTAAAATTGCACTTTAACATATGATTCTGAAAAGTTTACAATTCACTGACACATAAAATCAGCATGCTAACACAATAATCTGCACACTGTATAATAACTTATAAAAAATTACTGTGTCAAGCTAATTGTGACATTTCACCCTACCCAGTTACATATCTTTCCTCAACTTCCCTCAAAGACACCAACCCCTACCTCCCCTTATCACCACGACAACCACCAACACCATTTTCAAACAACAGCAATGAATATGATGACAACTTCTGGGCAGTCAGTAAGTCAACAACTGTCTTGTAAATAGATAAACATCATGTTTATGGTACCAACTACCTATCTCCAGGCAGGGATAATGACTCCTGTACCCAGAACAAGACGCACTAACATTAACTGTACTCCAACCATCCTGTCTTATCAAACTAGCAGCCCTCAATTTCACACATCTCTCACAAACAAACACAATTAAGAAGAAATGTTTCGTTGGCAAATTCTAAAATCTGTGAAGAATACAATTCCTATTGTCTGAGCCTGATTTCCAGAATTAGATTAAGTCCCTAAGGAAAGATGAGGTAACATCTACCACAACACAATCAACTGTTAATGGTACCACCATCAGCTAAAACCGAAAAAATATTCTGTAATTTATAGTTAAATATTCACAGTATTTTGAAGAAAAAAGGTTAGTTTTTAATTTCTGTTTGCAATTTTACATAATTCTGTTTCCAATTCTGTAATAATCTGGGCCAACCTTCCACCAATAACACAATCAGTGTTCTATTTGTCCTCTTGGTGGTCTTTTTTATCCCATTTCCAAACAATCATCAACAACATTGAGAATATATATAGTATTCTTCGACTTATTATTGAATTGTAGGGTCTCTTAGGTATTTACTATGTATACTATAAACAACTAGAAATTTAAGGACACCAAAATCAATGGTAAGTTACTAAAGAAAGAAATGGCAGCAGCTGCTGGAGAGAGAAGCACAGGATTGGGGCCTTGTCTACAAAATTAATGGGTTTGGCTGTTTAGACAAAAAAAAATTGAAAATCCTGCTGCTATACAATATAAATTTTAAAGCCACACCAGTTTTATCCTGTACATTAAATGCTTGCATTCTTCCAATCTTTTAAGTAGTTCTATAAATTGTTTGTTCAAATCCTTATTTACTTTCCCTCTGATAGATAGAGTATAAGATGAAATGTTCACATTTTCTATCTACAGAGTTACTCTGAGTCATGTGTGCGTATCTTTCTGTGGTCTGTCTGTAGGACACAGGACTTGGGGAAAACCACCCTGACTCATTGCAAGGGTGCTACAGTAAGTAAAAATTTGGTTGACACTCCTTGGAGAATTTTCTGACAGTGAATGAATTATGGAATACAAATGAGAATGTAAAAGGAGTGTCTACTGACCCATAGGTAATGCCTCATCACCCATATCATTTAATTTTTTGATTCCTAACTAATCAAGAAAGATTACTGATATTTCCATCAAAT